ACGCAAGGCATTATGGGGATGTGAAAGTCGAGAACTTCATCATCGAAAAGTTTACAATTCAATCAAGGATAAGCTCCAAACAAACTTTTTATCTTTTTTTGAGGCTACACACGTTGAGATTTAGAAATCGACTAATCTTTGGGCATAAATGTCTATTATCATCATTAAATGTCTCCAAACGTCTTAGTCAAACTCGTTGTTAAGTCACTTCTTCCATCATGACTGTAGTAGTTAAAAATCCATCATCATTCGCCTCCGTTTCGTCTAGGATTGATTTATGATGCATGCAGTTGGTAATATAAAGAATGACAGGCTTAGCTTGTGGTTGAATGAAGTGTTATGAGGAAAAGACTACATCGCGGGCGTAGAGTGCATCTCAGGGCCGCCTCACAGCCCAAATTACATACATTTACTGTATTTTATGGTGTCCTTCTCCGCCCGGGATATATTATTATTCTGTTTCTTGAATGCTTCACTTTGAGACCCATTTGAAAGCTAAATAATTATTCAATGTCTCCCACTTCTATCATGAAAAAATAATGAAGAGTACTTTCTGTATAATTGTGAGATTCGACGACAACGCCGTAAAGAGAGGTGTGTCAATAAATATTCCTACTATCCATACCATTTATAGAAATAGTGTTCCGACATTCCTCTGAGAATTTTATTATTTTATACAATGCCGATCAATATCACAGAGCGGATAAACGGACATGGCAATGGACTTTAGCATGTTTGGTCTGGTTTTTTCTATCTGCATAGTTAGTGCTAGTATTTTGCCGCCAAAAATTCAATAACCGTGAGGAACACCTGCCTTGGGGTGGGGGGGAGGTGTGAGTAATGTGTATACAAGACGTTTCCGGGGTGAATCTTTTGATGCTTGTAAAACCAGTATTTTTTAACGACAAAAGCAAAATAAATAACACCATTGATACGTATTTAACTTGTTCTTTTAGAATTTGATAGCTTTAACCCTAAAATCCAAAATTGTGGAAAATCCCAATCTGGATTAAATCTTTGGATCGGACTTTTTCTAGGTGGAGTGTGGGATCGAGTAACAAAATTCTTTGGTATTTCACTTTAAAATCAATGTAGAAAGTTGAAGATAACTTGAAGAATTGCTTTCACGCTGTTATATTTCAAAATTAAAAGATAATGTAGATTTAATGAAAAGGAAACGGGCAAAGGAACAGTGATAATCTGTACCTTTATGTMACTTATTTTTCCATTTCCTTTCTTTTTTATAAAGCAAGAAATCAAAAAAGACGATCGAAAATCCTCCCCTGTGACCATGCAAGATCATATGGTAAAACCGAAAGAGAGGGGTCGTAGAGTTATAACAGATACCGCACGCAATACAAGGTAAAAAAGTCTTTATTATAATTTCTAAAATAAGCTTAATTTAGTGCCCTTTTAAGTGTTGTGATCTTCGTAAAACTCGCTACTCCACCCGCACATCTTCACATGCTACAGAAGGAAACCTTTTGCGATGTAATATCTAAGGGAAAATAATCTTACCAAATAAGGTGTCCTTTTGATTATTGTGATCTTTGTAAAACTCCGTGTATTCCGCATTCCTTCACACGCTTCAGAAG